CCCAGGCTGCTGTTTCGCATCACTAACCCTCTTCCTACGCTTCCTGGGGTCTGAAGAACATGCACATTTTATAAATGAAGTCATGTATTGTAAATCTGATTAATGGAGTGCAAACTTAATGTTGGAACAGCCCATATGTACTGTATGTCAAACTTTTTTTTTTTGTTATATTTGTATGTATGTATTCCAGCACTTTACAGCTGGTCAGATGTTGCAGAAAGACATATTATCTAGATTAAGAGTTGCTAAATCATACAATAACTTAAGTGTAAGTAACCTTATAAATAGTCAAGTTGGGCTCAGTAGCAATTCCTAAACTCCATTAGACAGAACACGTAACAGCTTTCTTGCAAAAAAGACACTTGGAAGGTCTCAATGTTATTAGCTGGTTGGCTGTTGTATTAGGTGTGCTATAAATATACTTTCTAAGATTTACTTTTTTCAGTTGCCTGTTAATATTGTTAAAAGTTTTAAAAAAACACAGTAATTTTAATGTGATACTGCTATTAAGGACTTTATCTACATTCAGAAACTACAGTCTCTTGAACAACACAAGTGTTAGCTGGGGCGTAATTTCATTTTTGGACTTAAGCTATTGAAGGGACAGGATTAGACAAAACACGCTCTGCTTGCCCTGCAGCTGTTTTGCAAAGTTGATTTGAAGCATTAAACTGATAAATTATTCAGTGTGTTGGGTAAATCTTAGGTAAAAAGATCAGAAAGCCAGGTAGGGCGTATTGGGCAGAGTTACCACATGCAGCGAGCAGGTCTGCCTGCAGCTCTCAGGCTGTCGCAGGGGAGCTGAGAAACGTTTCAGAAGGAGAGCAGCACTGTGGCACCCTTCAAAGCTATATGGAGCTTAGTGCCCTTGCCTTCCCACAGCATGGAAAACATCCTGTTGAAGTACCCACCATCAGCACTGGCAACTGGGTGGTGCAGCAAGCAAGGACCCAGCACATGCCCTTCTGTCCTCACCTAGCTGTGCCACTTGATTTTATTGATGGAGAGTGTGTCATTGTCTCCATTTGAAAGTCGTTTATTTCGTCCCTGGAAATGTCGAATCCAGTCACATCATCTACTGGTGTGCTCTGGTGTTGGGTTTTTTTAATAGCACAAGGTATGTTGTTTAATTGACAATGGCATCCAAATTGCTACGCATTTGCATTTATATACTGTGTATTTGACAGCTTTTTGCATACGGGCTTTTAAGTTGCCTGTGCCATCAATTTCCTCTATAATTTGCATGGGTTCTTCACAATAAAAAGCTACAGAAAATATTTTTTTTTTAATAAGGAAATCATTATAAAAGTTTAAAAATCAACAGGGAAGATTTAGAACTAGAAGCCATGAAATTCTCCTTTAAAATTATTTTGATAGTGAAATGATTATTGTGTGTCCCTTTGGCGTGATTATCTTTAATTGAACTGAATCTTTTAAAGCACAAACGAATACTTGTGGATAATTTAGAAAACTATTCCCTTTAAATATAGTTTCAGCTTTGTCAATTATTTTCTGCTTTCTTTATCTCTTTTTTTTTTTTTTAAATAAATAATGTTTGCCTGAGTATAAGATGTTTTGCACAGGTTTATCTACCCTGCTGTTTCTTCCCTGCCTCAGTGATACTGCTCTCTACACGACATCACACTTGTTTCCCCAGTGACCTACTGCTACAAGGCACTCCTGCGGGAGCAATGGGACTTTCTTGTAAATATGATGCTATGCTTTCTGTCACAGACTTTGAATAATTCACTAAAATTAAAGCGTGTGATAACAGCTTCCTCGAAGTTAAGCCTGAGCTAATCTGAGAGTGGTTTTGGTCTGTGGTGGTATACCTGGCTGGTTTCACTAAAGCCTACAGCACCCATCATCTAAAAGAAAAAATGTGGTTTTAATAGTAGAACTTCAGGAATTATTGATATAACTTCCTAATACGTATTTACTGTAATTTTCTGTGCTCAGGAATTCAGCTGCCTATGATGGTGTTTCCTAGCAAGAGCAGACTTTAATTTAATCTAATTTTCTCTTGTCTTGCTTCTCTCAAAAATATTTGCAGCTGGGTACTTTCAGAAGTAAAGTTAGTTATTTGTGGCGCTATTTCAAACCTGGTTTTCGTTTGCTTTATGCCAGCGCGTGCAGCCTGCCCCAGCGCCAGTGCCCAGTGTCCAGGCTGCCCGCGTTCCTGCTGCATGTGCCAGGGAGGGGAGTTCTGCAGCTGGCGTGGGGGTGAGCTGCTGCCCTGGCTCTGGGGCTTCCATCCATCGCCTCCCACCACCAGACGTGGTGGCGGAGTAGAGGAGTAATTCAGTTCAGTCCCAAACAGTGGCAGGGAGTGAAGGGGTAAGCCCAGGCTGGGTACAGAGATAGAAAGCAGGATATCAAGTAGACGGAGGAGTAAAACAGTGAATTTCATGGCAAAATTGTTGAATTGATGGCAGCAAGAAAATACAGTAACTGCATGAGCTTAGATTTATTGAGATTCTAGTGCCTTTCAGTTGAATGAAATTGTCCACAGCACCGTTTCAGTCTTACTGTACCATCCATGCCTCCATTTATGCTTACTCCCCTTTCTTGTTTTAAATTATCTCTGCCTCTCCCAAGGCTAGAAACCCTTTTTTCCCTTCTAAAATGCCGAAGACCATTTGTCCTAAGCTATATTCAATCTCCTCTCTTACATTGCTTTACCCAAGACATTTTAAGGAGAACAGTTTAAGGTGCCATTGCTTTTCTTTATCTTTCATTGTTCATTTGGTAAAATCAGGTAAAATACTACTTCTTATGGTAATAGCTGAAAATCTATAGCGGGCAAACACTGCAGTTACGTATCAGGACTCTAGATGGGTAGTGCTTTCTACATTCACATGCCTTTGTGTAATATTGAAAGATCAGGCTCACAGCAGAAAACTGATACGTTGTTGGGGGTTTTTTTGAGCAGAGAACCAGAAGTAAGAGTTTGGGTTTTCATCCTGTTAGGGATGCTTATTCATAGGGTCTTTGGACAAGTATATGGCTGTTAAACTCCATGTTCTATTAATTGCTCTATCAGCTTTTTCTCGAGAGAGTAACTGTACATACCTAACTCCTAGCACTGCCTCTAGTAAGTGACTGAGGATTGAGTTTACAGACTTACAGTCCAACAAGTTACTTTATTCATCAGTGGTAGTGCATTTAAAAGTAGAGAAAAGAGGTCAGCCGCACCTCCTGCAGTTTTAGGCTGCACGTAAAAGGGTAAAAAGTAACAGAAGAAAAATAATCATTATGTGGGCTTGTTTTTTTTCAGGGAAACTTGGTCGCTTTCCACCAAGGATGCATTACCAGGCCACTCCTGACAGCCGAGCTGCCCCTCATTTTCCAAGGTCTCACCTTGCTGAAGCAGTTGCCAAAGCCAAGGCAGGCGGAGGTGGTGGTGGAAGCGCTGGTGGAACTGGGAGAGGTCTTGTGGGGCAGATTATCCCTATATATGGATTTGGCATCTTCTTGTATATCCTGTACATTTTATTTAAGGTAAGACCAACATAAATTGAAAGTCAGGGATATAACAACTAAAAAACCTGCAAAACAGAAACAATAGTTCCCTTTCTGTACCAGGTTCCATTTCAGCCTTGCTCAAAAAAAAAAAAAATTTATGCTGGATCTTTGACCAGTGGTTGAAAGATTGGTGTATCCTGTGGTTTTTGCTATTGCAAAGACTGTAGCTAAGAATGTAGGGATGGGTTGTTGAAATCCTGTATTGACCTCTGACCTCTTACAATTTTTTTTTAAGAACTCCCCCCCCTCCCGGGAAATGTGTATGTCTGGAACAATGTTAGATTAATTTTGAATATACACATAGTGTTCTTTTCTATCATGTGTGACTACATATTATGTATACTGTATATGTCGTATTGTGTTATGCATTTAAGGTGGGAGAGGGGGAAGTACAAATATTGCATACCTTCTGGAACAAAAGCACCACATAGGTTGAGAATGGGAGTTTTTCAGGTTGTATTGACTATGCTGGAACCACCCCAGCTGAGGAACTGGGTTGAAGGCTACCTTTAAAAAGCACAGCCCGCATTCCCCTCAAGCATTTCACACCTGATTTGCACTTCTCATGGCTTTTTGTTATGTAGATGTGACTTGCATGTAGGTGATGACAGTCAGCTGTGTGGGAGGAGGGAGAAGCGGGCTTGTTTTTTCCTTTGAGTGGGCGCTGAATTCAGACTGAGCAGTGTCCAAACAGTTGAGCCTGCTCTGGACAGACAAGAGGCAAGAACAAGGTGAATTGGGTAAGCTGATCAAACACAGAGTAGGTGAAAGAAATAGGTAGCCTGCAGTTTCTGTATAGAGCCGGCCAGTATCTTTGCTACAGGTACAAAGTTGGTGAGGAATAATGGGAGAAGATGTTGCAAGAGGGACAAGTGGGGTCACATACAATTCCTTCAGAACCTGTCCTTTATTTCACAATCATTACCCAACACACTTTTTTTTCCCCTCCTATAAACAGAAGAATTACAGGATCAGACTGGAACAGATAAATAGTCTAAAATGAAAAAGTTATTTTTGATGACTTATGTTTTCACTATGCTTAAAAATATCGTTTGTTCCACTTGCCTTTTAGCAGTTTTCCGCTGACAAGATCTCCCAGGCATCTTTCATGGTTATCTGGTTTTGCCGCTGGGCATGCTTTTCTGTGGTTGCTTTCTGGCATATTTTAGTTTTCTATCCTTTTTGCTGTTGCCTTTGGGGCTTATATATTACTATTGCTGTAACTCATAGGAGGGTTGTCTTTTTTCACTCATCAGCTGGCTTCCAAGGGAAGAACTATTGCTGGAGAGCGGAAATGCCCTACTGCTGCACCTGGAAACATGAAGAGGAAAATTAGTGAGTATGACTTCTGAGTTGTATCTGTGTAGCTGTAGACTCTGTAGAGGCACGGGCCAACTGGTTTCTTCAAGTTCTGGGCAGACTGTAAAGCTGCTGTTCCCCCCACCCCTCCACCCCCGTAAAGAACAAGCCAGAAGCTTCTGTGTTGGAATGATCAACAGTTAAAGTGAATTACTGCACCGTCACTTTCTAATCTCATTCAGCTAATGAGACTCTGTGGTAGTAGCCTGATCTCAAGCCCCCCTGGAAGCAATGGATTTTCATGAGGTTCACTGAATTAACTGTACGGATTTGCTGAAAAGCTATGTAGCTAGTGATTAAAAACGGATAATAGGATGTCCATCTATAATTATTCTATAATCCATAATATTCTAGTAATAGTATATCAAGATATTATTAAAAGCTACCTTCATTTTTTGAATTTGTGAGTTCTTGGCCATCACCAGGCACTTCCCTACTTTTTCCCTTCCCTTTTAGCAATGCTTAATTTTGATGAGAAACCAAATAGTATTCTGAAATGTTCTTGTGGTTTTACCTAAACATCAGTGGGATGGATTCAACTATTTGTAGACATCTATTAGATAAATTAATAAGCTTACTATTGAAGATTGGATGAGCAGTTACCATAACAGTGTTTAAATGTGTTATGTTTAGCTGGCTAAATTGTAATAGGAAAGAAAAGTACTTAGGGCTTTATAGAAAGTGCTAGCAGTAAGGTAATTCTCTTAACATAGCTGTAATTATCTTGACATTAATGCGTATATTAGGAATACCTAATGTACTCAGTGCTATGGATTGTATTTTCAGTGCACTTGTACTGCATTGCGCCTGGCAATTTTGTGTAATTTATTAGCAACGGTAATTGTATTTTTTTCTCTAATGCTTGGTAAGAGAAACTAACTTTGCAGTAAGTTAAATATTTACCGTCATTATAACTCAAAGAACTAGTGATGAAAATTATTGTGCCTTTTTCTTGAGCTCTTCATTTGTATTCCTAAAGCATTCATTGGAAGCTTTAGCAGAGCAGGAGACAACTCGCTGGACTAGAAACCACTTACATAGTGACTCGGAGGGAGTCACTTCCTTTCTCTTTGCCATTTTCCCTTCCCCTATTTTTAAAGTCTCAGACATGCAAAATAATGACATCAGTGATACATTAAGTAATGGCATTCTCTGCAGAATAGAGATCTTCCCAAAACCAGGAGGTTTATGGATGGCTTTCTCCATTCCTACAATGTTGGAGTTCTGTTGAGCCTTTGTGCTGCTTAAATGGGTGTGCCTGTGGCAGCTGAATATTTAACCAACGCAGGCTGGTTTCAGTTTGTTCTGCAGTTGGGAACAACAAAGTCACAGCTATAGGATTTTGAGCTACACAAGTCAAACAAGGCACTCAAGCATTTTTGTTGACGTCCATACTGTTGCATCTTTGCTGTTAACACTTTCAGATAAATTAAAGCCAGTATGGGCGTTCCTGCACGTATGCATGTGTGTCTACTATTGTACTATGGACACATTTTTTTTAAAAAAAAAGTGCAGCCATGGAAATACTGTGCTTTGCTCCCCAGGCAGACACGATGTGGCTAGTTATTGTTCATCCCGGTAAGCTGGGCAGACCGTTAGCACTCACTGCCTACCCTGGCGCACCTGTGAAGGGTTGGATGCCATCAAGCCCATGAACTTCATGCTCTTTGATGACGGTGTGGTTTCTCAAACCTTAGACTCGTTAAAAAATGCTGAAGTGACCTTTTGTCTCTGTTCCCAAGGACTTAACAGGGAAATTCCATAAACTATTAATTCTGGAGTAGACAGTAAAACACTATGGTTTCCTTAGAAATAAAAATATGGTATTTTCTTTTCTCTAACTTTAATCTCCAGGGCATTTACAGTGGCCCACTCACTGCTTATTGGGCGGTTGGTGGGGGGCCTTTGAAAGAAAGTGCTTCCTGTGTGTCTTATTACCATTGGCAGTAATCGTCACCTTCTTACACCAGGAAAAGTAGGTAGAACTCTTTAAGCTGCATGTTTTAGTTTCCTCCCAGCCAGTTTGGTTTAGTGCGGCATATGCTATCTGTGATAATGGGACAGGGATATATTTTCGAAGCTCCTACTGACAGATCTTGGGATTTTGTCTGTTTTGCAGCTGACTATGAGCTCACTCAACTCCAGGAAAAACTGAGGGAGACAGAAGAAGCTATGGAAAAATTAATCAACAGAGTAGGACCTAACTGTGACAGGTATGTTTCAAATTACAGCATTTTAAGGAGAGTTTCTTCTCTCATTAGAAATTAAACTTTCTTACATTTGCTATATTAAAATAGCAGTTTTATTACTTCTTCACATCGTAGAAATTTGATTTTACACATTACATTTTTTGTCCTGCAGTTTTTCTCTTTTCAGTATCTATATTTACAATAAATCATTTTTTCCAAATTCACCTTCTTTAAACAGAAAAGCAACTATCCCTACCCTCCCCCTTTGTACAGTGTGTTATTTGGAAAATAATGACACGTATGTGTAAACCGAAAATAAAACATCTACATTTGAAATATATAGACCAACCTGTCTTAATGTGACCAAAGTAGTATTCTGAGTGATTGCTAAGAGACCCATTTATTTTAATTTGGGTTTTTTTTCCAGTTCTATGGCTTATTTTTCTAAATAGAAATACTGTTATAATATCCATAAAATATTTCTTTAAGGGCAGAATTGTATAATAATCTGATTCCATAACTTCGTTCCACCCTGTAACCAGTAAATCCATGCATTTGCTTCTGAATATAAAAGAAAAAAAAAAAAGTTGTAAAATCAAGGATTTTAAAATGTATAAAGTTTATTAATGTTTACTGTATATGTGAGATCAGTATTCTACATTATAAAGAAAGACTGTCTATGTCTAAAGAAACAAGTCTATGTTTTTCATAAGGAGTGGAATAACACATCATTAGGACAATGCATAACTGTAGTGTTGGAAAATTTAAATACCATGAATATTAAGGTGATGTTTGCAAGCAAGAAAGATCGCTCTTCAGGTTGTAATGCATGTGAACTTTGTCTGGATCGGTCAATACCTGTTTTAACCCATTCTGTAGCAACAATTCTGTGCCAAGCTTGCACGTTATGTTCATTTATGCTTCAAACCGCATTCTCTTTGAGCATGTAGCTTTGCCCACTTTGCACTGTGCCCTGCATTGCGGCTGCAGTCATCTCAGCAAGATGAGGTCCCAAACTTGCCTGTGTTAGGCCAGGTTCCAGCAGGAGAACCCCTGAGCTCCCTGGTTTCGCTAGTGACACAGAAGGATACTATTTTGACTATTACTCATCTGTGTTTTGGAGAGCTAACGCAATGCTCTATGCATACCTTTAAGCTGCCAGAAATAGGCTTATGAGCTGCCCAGATATTGTGCTGACTTTCAGGACAGGATATTTTTTACTGAGAAATGGGTTTAGGGTCTGATCCAGTATTTGTTCCACTCTGTGTTATTGGCTCAGAGCCTTTATTTAGTAGAACTTCCCTTCTTTGTTCAACCAAACTATTTATATAGATAGATCTAAAGGTCTCGGGGGAAATCAGAATCTGAATCTAATAAAGAATTTTGTAGGTAGCCTCTTTAAAGAGAAGGGGGAAAGCACCTCTAGATGGAGCAAATAGCTGTTTTTCAAATACACCCAGACTTCGAAGCTTTCTTAATCTACACCGTGATACTCATTAGGTTCAGTAATACTGGATGAATTTCTTAAAATAAAATGTATGGTTAGAAAGTGTAATTAGAGCACAGAGTACAGTGCTAGACTTACTCAATCTGGATGGTGCTAGATTTAAATAAAAAGAAAAGAGAAAGAGAGCAAAAATAACTTGAGCTCCATTTATTAATATGCAGTTAAACAGAAATCCTTACAACAGAAAAGTCAGAGAAAAATAACTGGTATCAAATTTAAACTAATGCTGAAAGATCCCAGGTGAGACCGTGGCCCATTACACTGGGTATGGCAAAGCGACTCCCCAGTCTGCCAAGTGAAATATTAGTAACCAAACCAAAGGATGTATTTTGCATTATTACAAAACCCGATGTATCATCATAACACACAGTGTTTGTAATAGTGCTGACGTCTGAGCTCGTGCCTCCGTGTCCTCTCACTATACTTCAGGAGTGTTCTCCTCCCAGCTGAACTACTCCAGGATTCCTCCTGGCTTTCTTCTGGTGAAGATTCTTAGAATCCAAAGGCATCCTAATTTTGTATATTTTCTTCAAAATCCATTACTTTTGAATATGGATGAGTTTGGAAGGACAGTTTATTCTCAGATAATGCTGTTCCATGGAAAGAAACCCTGTTTCAAAGGAATAATGTATCCTGTGCTCTGTGATTTTATTCTGCTTTCTTCTGTAGCAAGTGTACATGTTGTCTTCTTGCTGTGGCTTGTCCTGCTCATTTCTTTGTCTTTCAAAAGCATTTCAGTGAAGTGAGGGTGGAAGACTTCTTGATATTATTAGCTGGTTTTCTCAGATGGGGTAGTCTTTTATAAGGCTTGAAGACCAACCTCCAAACCAACCAAGGAGACTTCCTTCCAAACCAGCATACTGGTTGGAATTGCTACAGCCTTAAGTACAGAAACTCCCTTGCAGAAATACAAAACTTTCCAAAAGTGTAAGTACGTATAATTTAATATGGCCTAGCATGTATTAGCAAGGACTAGAAGCAAGGTAAAGAAAGCAAGAGGAAGAATGAACTACCTGGCTGGGACCTCAGCAACATAACCAAACCTAAACTGAGACGGAGAAAGATAATTGTTACCTAATGCACACGCTTAAATGCATAGCACACTGTATCTAAAGATATAATGATTCACAACTCTTTCCAGCTCTTTTTTTCAAGAGGTTATGTACATTTAAGTTATACAGTTTTGTACTTTATCATTACATCCTATCACTAAGTGGACCTCAGTATCTCCAGTTTCTAAATGTAGACTATAAAAGTCCAGTATCTCTCAGCGGAGATGAGCAGCCTTACTGGGCATTTGATGAGTCAGGAAAAAAGACTTGATTGATGGTTATATAGGGCTCTCTGCATTAAAAGCATGCATATTGCTTTTTCCCCAGGCTTTTAGCAGAGTGTTTCAATGTTGGGACAGTGATATAATGGGTACAAAAGATTTCCTTACCCATTCTCACAGATGTCTTACCCATATTCTTTTCACCACTGTCTGTAAAATTTGGTATTTTGAAACCACTTTAGATTGAAGAATACTTGTAAATACTTTTCTCAATGGGAGTATTGTACAATACTGTCTTTAAAAAAAAAAAATAAAAAATCTCAGTTTCTGGTAATTAGGTAAGATGTAGAAATCGTGCAGCTCAATTACCTGTTTTTAAAGTCCTGTTTACCAGGCTGTCAATTGGAAAACTTACCTTTTTACCATAAACTGAGCAAATGTGATATGGAAGAGAGAGACAGGCTGTACTCTGTAGGGTGCCATTGTTGGGCTATAGCTGCATTTTAATAGTGATTATTTTAAGATCATGAAACAAAAAATTACAGTTGACATGTCTGAGATACCATGTGAGATTATGGATTTTCACTGCAGTCATGATAGCTATTTAGGAAATGTTCTGATCTCAGTGTAAGAGTAAGAAACCTTTCCTTTACCTGTTAGTGAGCACTTTGGGACCCGACAACATGTAAGCATTGCCACTATGAAAAGTAATAGCTGCATTAGAGCTACAAATACACAGAGCAAAACCACTGACCTTTTCTTACATTGTAAACCTTTTGTACCTGTTGTCCTCTTAGTATTCATAAGTATGTTATACTCTGGTAAATCTCCTGTATGCAGGCAGCCAGATGTCTTATACATTGCCAGCATCTTACAGTAAGTCTCCCTAGAGGCTTTAAATGAAGTCGAAATAGTGCATGGGCTTTGGTTTCTCCCTCTCTGTAAGGGAATTTGTCTTTTAAGCAAGGTATCTGGAGGAGGAATATTCTGAAATACACACAGAGACCTTGTGTTGCAATAAGACAGTGATTTCTAATGACAGTATCCAGCATATTGGGAATTTTCCTATATGAAATCCCATAGTGATGCAGCTGCATTAATTGATCCTATTATCTCCCCATTGTGCTAAACAGACAGGCTTTTCTGTCTTTATCCAGGTGGTAGATATTAAAATTGCATACACTTTTGTCTATCAAAGGAGGATTAGTTTGACAGTTCTATTACAGCTTCTGTCAAAGGCAGCTAGCTGATGAAACCATTTCTTTTGTGTGCCTATTAATTTGTGTCTCAGATTCTACATCTGCATAACCCAGGCTTTAGAGAAGATGCTGTCTCACACCTTCACTTGTTCTACAGAACAAACGGTCACTGCAACTTGAGGGGACTCAGTGTAACCTCCATATGGTGTCGGGATTGTATCAGGTTTTCAAACTGTGGGGCAAAGTGCCCCTCAGGGGAAGCTCAGAGAACTGATCTCAGTCAAACAGTTTAATCTGGGTAGCTGCTAATGAAACCAGTGGGCCTGCTTCTGAGCTAAGATCAATTACAGACAACTGTGTGTGCAACTGTGCACAAAATCTAGCCCAGGGTCAGCACTTTGATCACCATTGCACAAAACAGCAGTATGATGCTAATCTCTTTGGCTTTAAACCAGTATCACTCTGCTGGCTTTAGTGGAGTAACTATCGCGTTACCATCATTCCTGTATACGTAGAGTAGCACAAAGTACCTATTAAAATGCCTCTGTATTCACAGCAGTTAGTAAGAGGAAAAACTGAAGATGGAAGCTGCAAGTTTTCAAGTTTATGAGAATTCAGGTACCTGAAACAAGGTTTAGATAGATACTAATCACTTAAATCCAAAATCATTAATCTATTTCCAGCTCCCCTCTTCCCATCTCACCCCTAAGATTCACTGAGCAGCTGTCTAATCTTGGAGATTATCTCTCTGTCTGATGGTCTGGAGATCACCAGAGATCATCTGTCTGACCTCACTTAGCACCTACAGTTCAACATTCTGCGCATGCCAAGGGCCACCCTTGAAACAAGCGCAACAGTCAGAACCATTTTCACCCCTAAGTACAGCCTGTTTCTTTCTTACTCTGACCTACTGAGTTAGTACAGCTCAGATCACCACCCTCCAAATACTTCTTTTTGTCCATAAGATTATTAGGGGGCTATATATATTTTTTTTTTTTTCCGGAGAAAATAACATGTAAAGACTACATGATCTTATATGTTGGAAGCATTTTTGTTACAACAGCAAGTCATTGTATTACCTGAGCAGTGGTAATTACTGGAGTCAGCAGTGTAGAATCAGTCAAAATTATAGTTTACGTTTAATCTGATAAAAATCTCAGTCCTCTCCCGCTCTCCCTCTGATTCTAAAGGCAAGTTAAAGTTAAATGTAACACCTTCGTTTCATTTTTAAATCTCCCTTCTTGCTTCTCCCCTGCCCCCTGCCAGGCAGCATTGTTGACTCTGAATGAGAACATGATCATCTGTCCAACTGGCATTTCTTAATGAGGCCTTGCACATTTAATACCTTTAATGGTCATAGTTAGGGATCATTAGACTCTTGAGACTAATGTCCATGTGAGCCATTTTGATCAGCCCCACAAGTTGTTTTAAATGTAGCATAGATTCTGAACTGCATTTTCTTATAATGCTTCAAACAAGGTATGACCCTCTAATTCTCACCTAACACTCTTTTGGAAGACAGACATTTCCATAGTGTCTTCTGTACCATAACTCTTGCTTGTGTGTCACTTTTCGTCTTGCTCTCACCTTGGCTGTACCTGCCTTCCTTCACCTGTTTCAGTTTGCAGGCTTTCTAGATAAATGGATAAACCTTTATACTGAGTTGCAGTGGAGACCACATGCAGATGTTGAATAGTGATCGTACCGCAGCCGGGTTTCTTCAGACTGTGCTGCTGAGGCGGACCAAACAGTTGAGTTCAAACTCTGTTAATGGTTTGTAATATTAATGGATTGAATTCTGGTGTCTAATATTTTCTAGCAGGACTCAAAATGTTACAACAGACCAGGAAAAAAGGTTGCTTCAGCAACTCCGAGAAATTACTAGAGTTATGAAAGAAGGAAAATTCATAGATGGCATCTCTCCTGAGAAGGAAGCTGAAGAAGCTCCTTACATGGAGGACTGGGAAGGTAAGCGAGGGCCTTTCTTACCATTACCCCAATGAGAAGAATCGAAGAAGGATTACTTACAGTCCCAGATCCTTTCAAAATTTTTTAACTTTATCCTTCCTTTTCAGAAGTCAGTGTTCGAAACTTTGCAAGAGGTGGTTTGTTTTCCCAGCCATAATAGAAAGAAAATAGATTTTGAGGCATCCAGCATTTCCTTTAGTGTAAACATTACACCATCTGCTGCCAAAAGTGGCATATGAATATTCACATATGCTCCATCTGCTGCTGGGTCTTGGCTGCTGTAGGTTTATATCTCTCCCCTTCTTTGCTGGGCTAGATTTCATGCAAAATTATAAAACCCTTGGAAATCAGAATCAATATGTTTTGGATAACTTACAGTTTTTTCTTTTGATTAGTCATCCTTTGTTTGCTCCAATGTTGTAAAAGTCAACTCCAGGAAATCTGTATTTTAAAAATTCTTTATTTTATTTTCTGTTCCTTGGTGTTTACTTGTTACATAAATGTGTTTAAGATATCCTAGTTGCGCTGCTCACTGTCATAATTTTAAATGCAGACTTAATTCCTTGCTCTTTAAGAAGCATTCAAAAATGATCCAAAACATAAAGCATAAACAGTGGCCTGGAGCTCTGTTTTCTTAAGTCAAGTTCATGATGCATTTTCTAAAATGAAATGCACAAAGTCATTGACATATCTGTTTTTTTCAACTTTATAAATAATGCTGTTTATAGCAAAAGTCGTCAAAACATGAATCAGTCAATCTGTAGATAGGAAAAAAAAAAGCATCTATTTAAAGATCTAAGACACAATTTTCACCTGTTAGCTCCCATAGCTTTCAGACACGCTCAGATACTCACTTCTGAAAGTCAGCGTTGATATCCTGGCTCCCTAAAAATAAGTGGAGTTTTCTTATCATCTCCCAAAAAGTCATGTTGTGCACATTTTTGCTATGGATTTACTACTGTGACATATACATGGCATTAAATAGATGACACATATACTGGCAGTGCTAAAAACAACTGTTTTAACAAACTTGTGCATCCATCACTGAAGTCAGTACTACTTTTAAATGCTGGTAACAGTTCAAGCTGTGTATCACTTTATTCCTAAGGTTATCCAGAAGAAACCTATCCTGTCTATGATAATTCTGATTGCTTCAAGCGCAAACAGGACACAATCCTTGTAGATTACCCTGACCTGAGCCAGCCCTCTGCAGAAGAGCTGGCAGAAAGAATGGAGGGCATGGAAGATGAGGAGCATCTGTGCAACGCAACCCTGCTATCTGATCTCACCATGGGAAGGGGTGGTCATGCTTTAATGCAGGAAAAGGATGAGATAACTGGCATCAGTGAAGAGGAGAGGGGCCTTCATGATAGCCAAAGCATTGAGGAGTGCTGCTGCTGTTACGAGGATGATGATCCTGCTGTCATAGCAGAGAACGCTGGATTCCACTCTGAGAGCTGCAGTGAAGCAGAAGAGTCAACCCAAGAGGACCTGTCTGTGGAGTCAGAAAATGAAAATGCAGCACTGAAAAGGCAAAAAGCCAGTGATTCAGATGAAACTGGCACACTGAGAAAGCGCAACACAAAAGGACTTGAGTAAGAGAGACAATACTGGATGTTATCTAGATGGTGAAGGCAAAGGTCATTTGTCAAACTGTCATTTGTGTGGTTTTTGTTCCCGATGAAGACTTCTCTTTGTTCATCTCCTTGTACCAATTTAATTCCTATGGTAACAAGCAGTCGCGTCATCTACCTGAACTGGAAGCCAATGCCCTCTTTCATGCAGTCTTGTCATGGCTTATCATGACATTGCCAACAGCGCTTTGTCCTTGCTTTTCGGAGACTGGCATCTTGGAGCCAATTATTCTATTCAGATATTTGTGATTCTTTCTGATTCTGAACAAACAGTCCTGATCTTTACCGGTTGTCATCCCAGAGTTAACCAAATGTTTTTTCTGACTTTTTAAAAAATACCTGTTTGTGTGCTACCAGTTATGAAAATTAATCAAATGCATATATATTTATGAGATTACCAGGAAGCTGGAGGACTAAGTATGGCTTCTTTCTCTTACCTGAATGTTAACTGATCAGCAGAACAGACCATAGTCACACATGTGACTCTTTCTCAACCGTGTCATTGCTGCTGTACGCCTAAGAAACTGTTGTCACTACAATCCACAAAATTCATATGCTACCCCAACCCACAGCCTGTTTCCCAGCTTATTCCATGCTGCAGGACCAGTAGCCTAATTTATGTTATGTTCCAGGAACAGCGTGAGGAGCAAGACTGAGGCATTGTGAATTGTTCTTTGTCTTTGCCATAGCCATGGTAAAACGCCTTGATGAAATTCCCAGATGAGTGCAGGAATCGGACCATACTTTGTGTTAGAGAAGAACATGAAAAATATCCCCGGGGATTTTAAAAAAAAAAAAAAAAAGGCAGCAAGAAAGTTTGTCCATAAAAGTAGAGAATAGAACGAGGGTGAACCTCAGACTGAAAAGAACCCCCCCACCTCTAGGCCCCAAAGACCTCCCTTGGTGGCCTCCAACAGACTCCTCATGTGGTGCTGGCACAGAGGCCCAGAGCACGCCAGGCCCTCTCCTGCCCTCTCCCTGGGGGCTCCGTGCAGAGGAGATGGCATCTCCCCACACTGCAAGGGCACAGCCAGGAGACTGGGAAGAAGGGCCCCACGCAACACTTGGCAATCAGCAAGTCTTTTATGGAGTGCTGGGAGACCTTGCGCAGGTCGGCTGCGCCTCCCTTTCCCGCCAGTGGGATGTCTGGATGCTTCACCCCCTCTCAGCCACTGTTGGGCACGGGGGGCTGCAACACTTGCAGGGAGCCAGGTCAGTGGGGGGTTACTGAAGACCCCTGACCCTCCTGGGACACCCTTGCTGCCATCTCATCCGGAGGAGCCAAGGCACAAGATGAGGAGGGGGCCAGAGCCCAGGCACACGAGGGGAGGTGGAGGGCAGTCTCTGTGCCCAAGGGACAGCAGAATGGCACAGCAGAACGATCCCCAGGAAAGGGGCCCTCAGTCCCCCCCAACCCTCCTCCTTCTTGCACATGGGGCCATCTTTCAGGCCGCAGGCCCCTCAACTCCCAGAACAGCCATATTTGGCCACATGCATCCCCATCGCAGTGGCCTCCTGATGTCACGAGCTATCTCACTGCTGTTTGTTCCGGACCCTATAAATACAGGGATCCCAGCAGCTGGCCCACAACTCACTGAGCTTCAAGGCCCTCCAGTTCCAAGAATGATTGGAAGAAAGGGGTCCCACAGCAGCAAGACAAACAGTTGCCCACATTTGTATGGGAAGGCAGAGAGGCAGCTGCAGGAGGTGGAAGAAGAGGAGGCAGTGTCAGAGAGGGGCATCATCAGCCACATGGTAGCAATGGCCATCGCTTATTTGGCTGATGATGTGGAGTCCATGGAGGTGAATTCACCTGAAGATCAAGAAGAGCCAATGGAAGTGGATCCACCTCCAGCATGGTACCACGACACCATGCCGGGGCTTCCCTCCATGACGCTGTCAACACAGTGTTGCAGGAGCACCTGGCCAGTGCCCTACCATCGGCCAAGCCTCCACACCCGGCCATACCTGTGAGGCCCAGCCTCTGCGCCTGGCCATCCTGCAGGCTCACCTGTTCCATCTCCTGGCATCAACAATTATTGTGTTGATTGCCACGGGTTGTATTAGTCCTTTCCCATCCTCCACCCCCTCCCATTCCCTCTGAGCCCCAAGGAAAGGGGATGAAATGACCTGGCTTCCACCAGGCTGCTGTGCCAGGATGGACACAGAGGTCCCTGGGGCCTGGAGGTGGGGTATGAGGATGAGAAGGTTGCCCAATGGGTGGCTGAAGATGAAACCAGACCCTCCACGGCTGTGCACGAAGAATAGCAACAGATCAAGCAAGGAAGTTAGACAGCTGTTCCTTTGGAGAAGCAGAAAGCCTTCTAGCTGCTTCATTAGGAGTTCTTTTCAAGGTTCGGCAATAAACAACTTTAAAAAAAACCCCAAAACAATAAACCAAGAAATTAACAGTAAAAAATGATTTCCTCTTGTCTTGTTTGGTACTTCGGTGACTGCATCTGGACCCCTCTGTCCCCTCCTGGTCACCCCAATCCAGGAAAGACACTGATGCGTGGAGTGTGGGCCCAGCCTGGGGCCTTTGAGATGGTGAGGGGATGGGGCACACAGCACACAAGGGCGGGCTGAGGGAACTGCCTCTGGTCATGAGGGTGGTGAGACACTGGAGCAGGTTGCCCAGAGTTGTGGATGCCCCATTCCTGGAAGTCTTCAGGGTCAGGCTAGCCGGGGCTTTGAGCAACATGATCTAGTGAAAGATACCTGTCAGCCTCACCTCTGTGCCTGGGAAGATCATGGAACAGATCCTCCTAGAAGCTAGGAGTGAGCCCAGGATATCAGTACCAGGCTTTAGGACTGGTGTCTGCGCCAAAACTTTGGGTTTTTTTAAAGCATGGAAGACCTTTCAAGAGACAAGGTATGGTGGAGCCTGATGGGATCCACCTGTCCTGATGGGGAAAACACATCTTTGGGTGTAAACTGGTGGGGCTGATCAATAGAGCTTTAAACTAAACTAGAATCAGTGGGGGGAGGAGATACCAACAAGATTGCAGTAGGTAAGCCGAGGGTTGGCACGTTATCACCTGAGTGTGGCAACACCAGTGGGAACATTTACACTGCTCCTGGGGGCACGGAGGGCTCAGGAGCATATCTGAAATGCGTGCACACCAATGAACACAGAATGAGAAACAGGGTGAAGTGGAAGCATTCCGAGCACTACAATGTCATTAGTATTAGTGAGGCTTCGTGAAATGTCCCTCACAAATGGAGTCCTGGGATGGAGGGCTACAGGCTGTTCAGGAGGGACAGGCAGGGCAGGCGAGGTGGAGGTGTCACACTATACGGAAGGGAAAGGTTTGATTGTAGAGCCCTTACAGTTAGTGATGATGTGTTTGAAAGCCTCTGGGTGAGATTTGGAGGATGGAAAACAAAAGAGCTGTTGTCCTAGGTGTCTACTACCGGTCACCCAGCCAGGATATAAGCACTGATGAATTATTCTGTAGGCAATTAGGAGAAAATTCAGGATCAGTAGCCCTTGTCCCTATGGGGAGATTGCAACTTCCCAGACATCAGTTGGGAATATAATACTGCTGAGATGAGCAGATCTTGGAAATTCTTTAAGTTTGTAGGAGGTGATAACTTCTTGTCGCAGGTACTCTGAGTGAGCCAACTAGGAAAGACGCCCTCCTAGACTTGCTGTTCGTGAATAGAGAAGGATTCATGGGGGATGTGATGGTAGGTGGCTGTCTTGGCCACAGTGATCATGAAATGGTCGAGTTTAAAATCAGTGTAATGAGAAAAAAGGAGAGCAGTTACTACGCTGGACTTCAGGGTAACAAACTTTAAGCTAATCAGGGAGCTATTTAGCAGTGTACCCTGGGAATCTGCTTTTGAAGGCTGAGGAGTCCACGATTGCTGGTCAGTCTTTAAGAACCATCTTTTAGAAACACAGGAGCAGGCAATTCCCCTGTGTCATAAGTCAAGCCAGCAGGGCAGAAGACTTGCTTGGCTGAGCAGGGAACTCCTCGTGGAGCTCAAGAGGAAGATGAAACTGCATGATCTCTGGAAGGGGGGGGTCAGGCTTTGCAGGAAGATTACAGAGCTGTGGTTTGTATATGCAGGGAGAAGACACAAAAGGCCAAAGCTCAATTAGAGTTGAAACTGGCCAGTGTTGTGTCAGATAACAAGAAGGGCTTTTTTAAGTATGTTAATAGCAAGAGGAGGTCTAACAAAAACATTGGACCAATACTTGTTGAAGATGTTCATCTGACTAATAGGGATGAAGAAAAAGTGGAGGCATTCAGTGCGTTTTTTTGCCTTCATCTTTAATAATTTTGATAGACCTTGGGTTGCCCGGTCCCCTCAGTCAGAGAATTATGAGTGTGGAAACAGTGACTTCCCATTTGTGGACACTGAAATAATGAGGAACGAGCTGTATCAGCTGAATGTTCACAAGCCCATGGGGCCTGATGGGTCTCATGCCAGAGTACTGAAAGAGCTGGCAGATGTTATGGCAGGACACAACTTGATCATCTACCAAAGGTCTTGGGAGCCTAGGGAAGTGCCTGCTGACTGGAAGCTAGCCGTCGTTACTCCAATTTACGTGAAGGGCATGTGGAACTCAGGGAACTACAAACCCGTTAGTCTAACCTAGGTTTTCTCTATTTTCTCTCTTCCTTTACTATGAATTAATTTGTGCAGTAGGAATTCTTTAGAAATAACAAATGAGCAATGTAAACATCAGGCTACAGTTATAACCTGGAAAAACCACCAGCCAAAACAAAATACAAAGAGACCTCTTAAAGGCAGACACCCATTGAACAACAAACCCAATCTGAGTGCGTAGGGCAAGATGCTTTTTTCTTTTTCTTTTCAAAAACGCTCCTCTCTCTGGCTGAAATTGCTGTTGCATAGGAACTATTTCCCCTTCTTAAATATGTTACCACAGAGGCGCTACCACTGTTGATGATCAGCTTGGCCTTGGCCAGCAGCAGGTCCGGCTAAGTCCGCACTGGCTCTATCAAACAGGGGAAGCTTCTAGCAGCTTCTCACAGAATCCACCCCTGTAGCCCCCCCACTTCTAAAACCTTGCTACACAAACCAAATATACTTGTGCCTAGCGTTACTCTGTCCTACGTGCGTTCGACTTGCTAAATTCATCCCACGAATCACAGGCCACCGCTAC